AATTTTCATCTTTTTCTCCGTTTTCTTCTTGGTTATCTTCCTCATAATCTTCTTCGTTTTCTTCTTGATTATCTTCTTGGTGATCTCCCTTGTTCTCTTCTTGGTTATTTCCTCCTCTGGAAACATAGTCATTGCAGCTTTGTATAGTATATTCCATAATTTCAATATTTTATTTATAATAATAATAATACAATTTCAATACTCTTTAATTTCCTAATCTCAAAATGCAATTGTTTTTCTTTTACAAATATAACCAATAATTTCAATAGTGTCTTTTGCTAATAATCTCTGGTAATAATTTTTATTGCCCCCAATCATACTTTTCCCAGCAGATAAATACTTATCTGCCTGAATTGTGAACATCCAAATTCTTAATATACTTAGCCTCATCCTTTTGGGCTTTAATTTAATATACTTAGCCTCATACTTCTTCTGGCCCTAAATAGACTTCCACTGGTCTTAGGTATCTTCTTGAGTTCTGTTTTCTAAAATAAAGAAATATATATATATACAACTATACTTATCAAAGGCATTCTCCTGGTAAGATAATAATTAATTAAATATTTAGTCAGATGGGGTTAGCAAAAGAATTAATGCTTATGCCAACAAGAGTAATTCATAATTTTTTTTATTTATTTGTAGATATCATTGAATTCTCTAAATATTTTAATTCTCAAATTAAAAAGGTTAACTACAGTTCAACATAAAGGAAAAAAAGAGTCAATAAGTGATCCTGATTTTATTTGAAGAAATGCTTATAGAAAAAGAACCAGACCTTGATGGGTTGGTTTTTCAACATGTTGTTTCAAAATATGGACCCAACAAATAAAAATCCCAATACAGATAAAAATTTAAGGTTAAAGGTAAATGATGTTATGCTATCAACTAGCAAGTTTAAGAAATAAACGATTTAGTTTGGTAAAAAAAAAATAAGATTGCTGCAATTAGAGAAAAGGCAAATTTAGTCTCACAAAACCAGATCCTGCTTGTACTAATATAAGTAAAAAGTAAAGCTCCAAACAAGCTGGCTTGCAAGTCATATAGTCTAGTCAGTTTGTAAGTCAGCTTGTGAGCTGGTTCATGCAGAGCTTTAGAGTGATGAATGAATGGATTATTTAAACTCAATTTAAAATTCAATTATTAAATACCTTTTTTTTTTCGATGTAAACTCAACAATTCTCTTTATTTTTTTATATTTTATATAAATAAATCATTATTATGAATTATAATAATAATAATAGCATATTAAAAATTTAATAACATTATTACTTATTTAAAAAAAGAAAGTTAAAAGTAATTAATGTTATTCTTTAAAAATCTTAATTTAAAAAATGTATGATTAAAATCTTATCTATTAAAAAAAGTAAAGGTAAGATTAAATTGGATAAGATGAAATGAGATTTATGATTATGAATGTGCTTGTGTATGTATATGTTGTGTACATATACATATATCTATATATACACACACATACTACAGAAAAAATTTAATAAAATTAAGCAGGGAGGGTGAGATTAAAGAATGAAGAGGGAAATGACTGTATAAATTAAAGTAAATAGTAATGTGACGATTCTAGAAATTGGCGCAAGAAAGAGATTGTTATATAAGAGATTGCATATAATTTTCTGTGCTGTTTCTAAGCTTAAGCTA